GGGGAAGCGGGAGGGGACGGGAGCGGTGCCCCGCTCGTCTCGTCCCTTCTCCCCTCGCCCGGCATCGGTCGACGCCAGCGCCACTGGCGGATCTTCCAGAACTACGAATGTGCCGTCTTTCCACGGCCCGCTCAGATAGCTCAGTGCCGACACCGTATTAACTACATCGTGGAATTACCCTAAGCTATGCCGGTCGAGAAAAAAAAATTATTGCCAATCTTCATCAGCATCGATAATAAGCAAATATACCGAGTTCGGGAAAGATCGAGAATCTACACCTGCTTAAGTCTCCTTGGTTAAAACCCTGCGCGCGAATAAGTTGGGCTGTGTGCTGCCTTTTTAAAATACTCTTTTCTCTCTACCCGCAGACAATGTTCGAGGCTTCAATCGGTCAAAACTATGACATTCATTGCACAAATTCGGGTGTCATAAAATTTGATGAGTTTAGCTTGCAACGATTTCGTGACCTATGCCTTCACAAGACGTCTCACTATTCATTTTACTACCCCATCGCCATGGCCATGTTTGCGGTAAGTAAAGCACTTTATTACACATTGACGCTTGGTCCCGACTTTTCACATTGTGTGCTGAATCCGACTCCGTCGAGAGATTTGACAGATTACATCGTCTTACTGACCAAACATTCACCCAAATGTACTTAAACTAGTTTTGTTACGCCAGTAAAACGATGTCCGCAAATTATAACAGCGGATTTGGATTCAGTACACAATAAACCAATTCGGTAAAGCTGATATGCAAAAGAATGCGGGGGACAAGAAAACGGAAGTCACCATGCTAAAGCATAAGCATGGTGATTTCCGTTTTCTTCCTCCCCTTTACCGGAATGCTTTATTCGAAGACTGGGGTGTAGGGACAAGAAAATGAATGAGTATAGGAGCAGAAGCAGACGGTCAGGAACGATCTCAGTAGAACTCTGCATTCAATAAAAATGAGTCCAATCTTTTGTGAAACTGGGTGGACTTGGGCCCCGTTTTCAGAAAACATATGGGCTTGCGTGGACTTACGTCCTTTGGTCCTGAAAATGATGGACTTGCGCCTTGGTTTCAGAAAACGCTTGGACTTGCGTCCTTTTTTGTACATTGCTGTCCAGTGCTAACTATGGCAGGTTATCTGAAACCGTCTTGACTGGGGTGTGTATCATACAGTATAGGTTCTAAAAAGCAATAGAACTAATTTTCCCCAACTTGTGGACTTACGTCCCTCTGTCAGATCATCAGTGATTTAATGGCCCTGACGAGGTCTTTTGGAGGCCAAAGACCCCTACCTCCGGCTCCGGATTGGGATTTCGATCATATGTCATGCGAGGTGTGCTTTGGTGTGGTATGAAGTGCCCTTTCTACCACTTGTCTTTTTCCCCAGTGTGGTCTCACTGATAAGTCAGTGCACAATGCTGCTCGTGACCTTGCATCACACATCGGTCTCACTTTCCAAATACAGGTAAGTGCGATGTGGACTCACCATGTGATACCAATAAAGCATTCCGATAAAGCTAAAATGCAGAAGAATGCGAGGAAGAAGAAAACGGAAATCACTATGCTTTTACATGGGACTTCCGTTTTCGTGTTCTCTACATTCTTCTGGATTTCAGCTTTACCGAAATGCTTTTTGTCTTCGTAACATCTCGATTGATGGGCGATATTTCTCTCTTTGTCTAAATCACTGATGAAATGAAAAAAGGGGTTTGGGGGTGATTTTCACATTTTGGGTGCGAACTGATGTGTTTATGTTAACAATCATGCCAGCCAAACGGTATGTTGATATCTCACTGGTGACAAGTGAAAGTGGGGTATGTCCACTATTTTCAAAAATCACTTTTTCCATTTTTGGATACTACTGGGTAATAGGGACCATTTGGTATGGTAACTTTCCTAAGTGCAATAAGCCCAGTGTTATGGGGACAAATCCCATGTCAATAAGGTCAATAAGGCATCAGTCTACTTGTAATTTTTCAAACAGGCATGAGTCCAAAACGCGGATTTTCCAAAGAGGCGTATGTCCGGGTTTGATTTGTCAGAATGGCATATGTCCATAGATCCAGAGGACTTACGCCATTCTGACAAATCACAACCGGGAAATATACCCTTTTCAAAAATCTTGTTTGTGGAGATACGCCAGTCTGTCAAATAACGCCCGGACTTATGCCACTCTGAGAAACCACCACTGGACATATTCCTTTTTCTCAAATCAGGTGGCATTGATTTCTTTTTTCGGTGCCTCCTAACGACAAAGTTCGATCTTCAGCTGCACGGTTACACAAAGTTTGATCTGCGGCGTCCCGGTTACACAATGTCCGATGTGCAGCGGCATGGTTACACAAAGTTGGATCTGCTTTTCGCCACTCGCGGGAGTCGCAAGTTTACACCTCTACTACAGGCTTGTTGCAATAGCATTCAATTTTTTTTCTTTGGAATATGTTGTTCTTCGATCTCTTACAGACATGAAGCAGTTTTTACATTTTTTCTATCTGCAATATTGACAAGAATATGAATACATTGAGGCTGCGCTGCAGAAACTGCCGGAGTGTAGATCAGAGGCATCGTTTTCTTCTATCTAGAGCTAATGTAACATCAACTATCCAGAGAAAAATAGTAATGCAAAACATATTCTAGATTGTAGGTTATTTACGTCACAAACATGATTTTTGAAAAGGGCATATGTCCCGGTTGTGATTTGTCAGAATGGCGTAAGTCTTTTGGATCTACGGACATACGCCATTCTGACAAATCACATCTGGACTTATGCCTCTTTGGAAAATCCTCGTTTTGGACTTATGCCTGTCTGAAAAATTACAACCGGAATTATCCCATATTGACAAGGGATATGTCAAACAACTCAGGTAGTATACAACTTTCATGATTTTTTAAAAAAATATAATGTTTCCTATTGCTAAACTGAGCTACTCCAGGGTATTTGCTTTGCCATATTGTCTAAATCACAGATTCAAACCGTTCTTATGCTCTCCTGAAAGATTGGGTTTTTGGACATACGACCTTTTCACTTTTCACCAGTGAATCTTGAACCATTTGGCCTCTATGAAAAGTCGCAAAGGGAGATAAGTCCATCAGAGTTCTCTCTGGAATTGCGGTTGTGAGAGTCTCACACCAAATGGTGAGGCAAACATACCTCACACCAAATGGTGTGAGACTCGTTGTGCCTCAGACCAAAAGGTGTGAGACCCCCTGTGCCTCACACCATTTGGTATGAGGAAGTATCACTCCATTTGCTGTGAGGCACAAGGAGTCTCGCACCATTTGGTGTGAGGCACAACGAGTCTCACACCATTTGGTGTGAGGAATGTTTGCCCCACACCGTTTGGTGTGAGGTATTTTGCCTTTCACCATTTGGTGTGAGACTGTCTCACACCCGAGTTTTCAGATCTGACAAAGGAATGAGCTGAGAAAGGACCTTAAGTCCACCAATGGGATCTGACAGAGGAACTTAAGTCCAGACATAATCTGAAAGAGGAACGTAAGTCCACCAGTGGTATTTGACAAAGGAACATAAGTCCAGGTGTAGCTTTACAAAGGAACATAAATCCACCAAAAAGATTTGACAGGGGAACATAAGTCCAGGTGTAGCTTCACAAAAGGACTTCCTAAAGACTTTCTACACTACCTTTGTCAAGACTTATTAATGACTAGAAACTCTATGAATTGGTGGTCTTGAGTTTCTTTGTAAAGCTACACCTGGACTGATGTTCCGTTGTCAAATCCCACTGGTAGACGTATGTTCCTTTGTGAAGGTACACCTGGACTGCTGTCCCTTTGTCAAATCCTACTAGTGGACTTATGTTCCTCTGTCAGATTGTGTCTGGACTAATGTTCCTCTGTCAGATCCCACTGGCGGACTTACGTTCCTTTGTCAAATCCCACCGGTGTACTTATGTTCCTTTGTCAGCTCATGCATGGACTTACGTTCCTTTGACAGATCCACAAGGGGGTATCAAAACACATAAGTCACACTAAAATTTGTTCTAATTGAGATAGAGTTGCATATGTTTCGCAGAGAAGTAATGCATCCTTAAACAAAACATTCTGTGAAGGAAAAAGTAATCTAGCTTTAAAACTGTAGCACCCAGACTAGAATTAGACACACTTTTAGCCCCCCTGGAAAATTAGCTCAAGTGGACTTAAACCCCTTTCTCAAATCATCAGTGAAATCGTGAGAGTCAAACCGTGGATTCACACCTAATGAGGCCTTTTACGAATAAGAACAGAAGGCATCCCGGGTTTTGGACCATAACAAGCTGCAGGTCACTGGCGCGTAACGACACGGTTTCTTGTGAAACAGATTTTTGAGGTTCTCAGCTTTAAAATTATATAGAACAGTTATGACTTCTTTTCAGTATTAGCGGAGATACGCGAGACACCGTGCGCTTAGTAGCTTTGGTATGGTCCGATAGCAGACGTCGCCAGGGATTCCTCCTGTTCTTATTCGTCAAATACCTCATTGTTAAATAGCTCTTCCCTTTTCCCCTCCTGCAGCCAAGTTCGTAAAATTTCCACCTCTACCTTAAATTTTGGTTAGGAATTCTTTACCAAAATGTTATTACACTAAGTGATATAAGCCACGCCAGCCATCATGATCTTCAAAACTGTGTGTGTCATTATTTTAAGACGGAATATGTTTGATTTCGCTGTCAGTGTGTGCCGTGTTGAAGTGGTTTACAATTTATAAGATTGACTATTATTAATAGGGTATTTCAATGGAGCGCTGCCCGGAACTAAGAAGAGCAAAAGCGGATACAGAAAGCGGTGGTTGGGGCGCGCGCGTGGAGAGGCGGCGGGCGGGCGGGGAGGCTCCGCTCTACCCGCTGCTCCTCCGCGTGCCTGCCCCCACCACTGCTGTCTGTATCCGCTTTTGTTCTTCTTAGTTCCGGGCAGCGCTCCGTTGAAATACCCTATTCAAGTACGAATTAACACCCAGAAAACGCCATTCTTGAACTCAGAATAATATACTAGTCAGGCCCTTGTAGCACCAAACATTCAGACAACGTTCTAAGAACATTCTTTTGGTTCTCTGAAGGTTCTGTAAACGTTTTTAGAACGATATGTGGTACAAGGGGGTTTACTGCTTACTATAAGACGAACCGAGTATGTGTACTATTCTTTCGTAGGTAATCCGCTATAAAGCATTCTGGCAAAGCTGAAATGCAGAAGAATGCATGGAACAAGAAAACGGACGTCAAATGTTGAAGCCTGGCAAATTCCGTTTTCTTCCCCGCATTCTTTTCCATTTCAACTATACCGGATTGCTTTATTGCATGAAATTAGTAAGTCACATACTAAAGTTTAGTATGTTTGGGCTATGTTTGCTGGTGACAATACTGGGCTGTGCTAGCCGGTGCCAATACTGGGTCAAGCTGGCTGGTAAACACAATGTGGTCATTGGTGAGTCTGTCTGACCAGTGTTAACGCTACTCACCTTATCATCATTAGCTGTTGTACAAGCAATGATACTGGAATCATCTGCTACAAAGAATGCCGACTGGGCCAGGGTCATCAGTTAATAACACATTTAATATGTTAAAAATAACCAAAATTATGCAGCGCTTAGAAACCACTAGAACTTCATACATAGCTGGAAAACCGTTGTCGCACCAAACTTAAAAGAGTTGACGGGGACCCTGTGCGCGTTGATACGAAACAAATGATTTCTTGCGCATGGTTGACTTTTTCAACTAAACCTTGCATGTTCCCTAAAGGTCATTGTCTTATGGAGAATACACGGTAAAATTAAATTTTAGTTTTACGTCAAAATTTGATTCAAATGCAAAAGAGGATCAGAGACGCTCTGACCGTACGCCATCTAGTGGCAGTTCCTAGCGGCCCACAATCCCACAACGATTTGTAAACAAAAACAAAAAAATGTCACAATGTCAAATTTTTGAATCTGCATCCAAGGTTACAATATTCTGTTTTAAAACTGATCGGAATTAGTACTAGAACTTGTAGACATTTAAAGTGCAATCACCCAGATCCGAGCGCTGGGTCGTTCCCCTTATTTGTTAGGGGTTTAATAAACTAAGGATCAAAGTCTGTGGTAAGATTGTTGCATTAGTGTGTTAATTCCCTAAACATTAATATGTGAGTAAGGAGTCTTGGAATAGTATGTCCACCCTCGAAACATTGCTATGTTCTTTAGAATTTCCAAGAGGGTATTTTCGAGGGGTAAACAACCACTAATTTTGGTGTACACCACCATTTCAGATTTCAAAACATGTCAACAATTTCAGGGCCATTTCAACCATTTCAAGACCAACCAAATCAACCATTTCAAGACCATTTCCAAACCATTTCAAGACCATTTCATATCAATTTTAAGACCATTTTATATCAATTTCAAGAGCATTTCAACCATTGCAAGACAATTTCAAGATGAACCATTGCAACCATTTTAAAACTTTTTCAACCATTT